GAGAGAGAGAGAGAGAGAGAGAGAGAGAGAGAGAGAGAGAGAGAGAGAGAGAGAGAGAGAGAGAGAGAGAGAGCCCTGCAGCATGCACCATGTCTGTGGCCGGGAACACAAGGGCAGGCTCTGACCTCCAAAAAAAAAGGGAAAGGGTAATATGCGATTGGAACACAAGAGTTTTTCCTTTTCGAAACTTGAATTCAAGTAGAAAGGGATACATGTTGTATTCGAACACAACGGGCACGTGTTCTATCCAACTGCTCTTCTACTAGGCTTCTATTTCAGAAAAGTGGACCCACACCGTTTCGCTTTCGGAATGTTCAAAACTCAGCTACTGGTCCTTCACATTCCCCGCCCCTTGCTAAGCCCCGGAACCTCAAAATGCCCACCCTTCCGAACGACCACCGACGTTGAAATTTCAATGACGTCGGAATGTCTCAGGCGGGGGAAACGCAACCCTGACGGGCTGCGAACTGGCACCAGTAGACCCCAGCCTGGAGGCACTCCACCGCGCACCAAGCTTAGCCAAGCCGCCAGCTGCAGATTTTGTCATTGTCATTTTTTTGCTGGCGCCGCCAGCCGTTGTGGTCCTGTAGGCGCGAGGCGCAAAATTTTCGGAGTAAAGGGCTGATCCCACCACGACACTACGAATGTAGACGCGAAAAATCAGTACGAAGATGTCAGCGGCCGTGGCGGGGCAAAAAAGAGAAACCGGATCCCACGAGGCCGACTTCTTCGGTGGTCTTCCTGGACCTGCAGCGGTTCTTTATGGGCTGTTATAGAGGGTGGATGCTTTCACAGACTCCGCTAACCGACATGTCACACAACACTATGGTCCTTGGGCATTCCTAATCCTGCAAACGGACAAGCGAATAAATAATAATAATAATAATAATAATAATAATAATAATAATAATAATAATAATAATAAAATGCTCCCTCTTTTTCGAGGCTGTGAAGCCCTCACGGTCTACACGAGAATTGTAGTAACTACATTTGCGCCCTTCGCAGCCGTGCTTCCACGACACAACCAGACGAAATTGAAGCAAAATATTTCAGCGGCTGCGACAACATCGGAAAGTGGTGGGATCTCAAAACTACACTGGAATTGGGCTGTATTGTAGTCGTG